ACGCAGCTCTGCATAATCACCTGAAGCCCCGCCTCTGTTTAGCGAGCTGCAGGAGCTGCATGAGAAACTGACGGGCTGTCAGAGAGAGAGGGAGGGAGAGGGGAAAAGAGAGGATCCGTTTCTCCCGTGTTATTATTCAAAGTTGATGTAAACTTTTGAATAATGTACGTTATCTACTACAAGTAGTTTGTTTGAATGTAATAATTATGTTGTTTGTGGAATCATTTATTGAAAAATGAATCTGAATTTTTCGATCTGTTACGATTATAAACTGAAGCAATATAAAAATGAGCCCCGTGAACTGAGTTTTAAACTGAAGCATATCTGCTCATAGTCCGGTAATTACCTGCTAACGGAAACTCTGCTACACAACTCTTATTATTATTATTAAAATATGACCGGTAATTTTCAAATATGTCCGGTAAAATAAATTCTGCCCGGACATTTGACCGGCGAGAAAAAATCCTGGCGGAAACCCTGATATATATATATATATATATATATATATACACACAATTCCAAAGCTGGTAAGGACTCTTTCAAATTTAGCAATAATAGTCTGAAGAAAAGGACTGATAACAGAGATTTGCTCTAATATGTATTCAGTATGATAGGCTCTGTCTTAACCCCAAATAATAAAACACAAAAGTCTTCATTCTGTCAGATGCAAAAGTCTTCATTCTGTAATAAAACACAAAAGTCTTCATTCTGTAATAAAACACAAAAGTCTTCATTCTGTCAGATGCAATGCAAATCACCGTTTGTCACATGTAAAAACTCTGCAAATCACCGTTTGTCACATGTAAAAACTCGCGAATGCGCAATGCATATTTTGTCACATGTAAAAACTTGCGAATGGTTCAGACGGTCTAGATGTCAATTTTGTCCTACTTGGGTTGCCGTCCGGCGTTGTCCAATATGGCGGACCATCTCGCACATGCGCACAGCAGATCGGGCAGAGCTGCAGATCGGGTAGTGACACGGGCTACCAGATATGTTCGGGTGTATTTCCGTCGCATCCGTCATCCGTCATATTCGTCATATTTTACGGCAACTCAAGAGGGCCATCACGGTCAAATTCCGAACATTTAAACATAGCCGACACTTCATTCTTTACTTTGTCCGTTATTATATGTAGAAGATTATACTTTTTCTCCGTCATGTTGTTTCCTTAGCAACAACTTCAAACAGGCATAGCCTACACTTCATTCTTTACTTTGTCCGTTATTATATGTAGAAGATATTAATTTGTTCTCCGTCATGTTGTTTCCATAGCAACAACTTCAAACAATAACAACTAACCGCTAGCCGCAAAGCTAGCATCACAGTCACTGTTCCGTTTTCGGAGACTTTGCACACGTTTTTCACAAACATTTTCACACGCTAGGAGTACTTCCACTAGCTTCGTCTTGATCTGTAGATGTGATTTGATGTGTCGTGTGTCCCCCAACTCCTCTCCAAAGTTCAGATATTTAATAAAATACTCAGGGGAGTTTCCTGAATTTTCATGCCCAAAGCCAAGCACTAGGCCCTGGGTAAATTAAGAGGCTGATCTCGGGCACTTTTGTCCACTTTCCCTGGTGGTCGAAACTCAAGCCAGACATCCCTGGAATCGTCTCAGAGAGTAGATGATCAGTGGGGCCTTGTTTTTACTGAATGATGTATTTTTTTATGGGGAATTCAAATATGAGCTTATTTTTAGGATTTTTGGAGACTTTGCACACGTTTTCACAAACATTTTCACGCTAGGAGTACTTCCATTCGCTTCGCCTTGATCTGTAGATGTGATTTGATGTGTTGTGTGTCTCCCAACTCCTCTCCAAAGTTCAGATACTATATAAAAATACTAAAAGGTAAATAAAACATTAAACATAATGACAAAATAACAACCTGAAAGATATGTATTCTATCTACACATTTCGTAATTATCTAATCTAGTGGCCTTATAAAAGTGTTGGCTAAAGTAACGCAGAATATATATATTTTTTTAATTGTAAATAATTAGAAACATTATTTATGTGCACAAGTACATGGGACCCCACCATAGCACCCCACACATAACAAGCTGTCCCGAGTTCCTCCGGCTGCAGTTCCGCAGACGGCCGGTGTGTGTCAGCAGAGCGCTGGGAGCAGAGGGAGGTGAGTATATGACGGATATGACGGATGACGGATGCGACGGAAATACACCCGAACATATCTGGTAGCCCGAACATATCTGGTACTGACACCGGCTCTACCCCACAGTTTGCCGCTTGGGTAGACCGAGCGGGATACATTTTTTCCAGAAATAACGAGGCAGCAGAAAAAGGAAGGTCTGTGATCTTGCGAAACAGAAGAGCTAAATAAATGCAACGACCTCCCAAGAAGAGCTCGCCTCTCTCCAGTCTTTCCGATAAAATGGGTTATTGAACCCGAAGCGTGTTGCTTCTGCCCTGGGAGACGACAGAGTCATCCCCCCCCGTTTCCTCGACTACGGTCTGGGAGCCGACAGGAAGTTCAACACTATGCATTGCTACCTTTAGTTCAGGGTTAAGGTGAGTCCCAGCAGGCAGTGTTGGGTGTAACGTGTTACAGTATGGAGTTCAGTAACGTATTACTTGCATTACTAATGCAGTTCGGGTAATTACTACCCATTACAATGCTCAGTAACTAATGCAGTTTCAAGCTTCAACACAGTGTTACTGAAATAAATGGCGTTTCGTAGGGCTTATTTTCCTCAATGACCAAGTCGCTGCACATTATTCTGTTTATGACACGACCAGATACTAAATAAATTAGGAATTCACTCCCAATATTAATTTAATGATTATTGACTGAATGATCGTATTTCTTTTTTTTTCTTCTCCACTAAGAAATATTCTGTTTCTCGTTGCACCAACGGCTGGATCTGCGACAACAACATCTCCTCGGCAGTAGGGGTGCAACAACTAAACAACTTAATCGATTACCAAATTAGTTGCCAACTAATTCAGTCGTCGATTAATTGGTGATGTCATCACGTGTGTTTTACGCGCCGTTAAGTTCCAACGTATTGGTCTTTTATCGGTACCGGAGACATTTCTAAAAATATGTCGTGTATTATTGCTAAAAAATATTATATCGCAGTCTTACTGTCGCCAACTCGTTTCTAATATGCAAAGACAACAAATGCGTCTATGATGTATTTTCGATCAGACGAGATCTCGCCCCCGTCTGTGTGCGAGGGGGCGGGGCAGTTTACACACACGCAGCTGCTACATGCAGCGGAGCACACTGCGAAGATGGCGGAGAGAACGCGCTCCGAGGTGTGGTTAAACTTTACCCGTCTCGATGTGGAGAAAACTTGTTACCATAAGTGCAATAAGAGTTTAGCATGTAAGGGCGCACGAGCAATTTGTCTAAACATTTAGCAAAAGTGCACCGCATGCAGACGGAGGAATGTACCGGGTTTGACCGTCTTTCTAGCAGCTCTGTAGCTCCATCACGAGTAACGTTTCCACGTCAGGTGTTATGTATGCTAGCAGCAACACACGGAGTTAACTACATTATACAAACATGGGTTAATGATTAGAGGAAACTGAGTTATTTAGTTTGTTAAAATTTCAGCTATTCTGTTTACAGTCTGTCATCAGATTATTTAATACGATTTGTTAAAGGCTCAGGGCAATCTCGATGACAAAGGTCAATGTTCCCCCCTTTCTACGCACGGAGATAATGTAATCTTAATAGTGTGCAGGCCAAGGCTGGCTCTTCAAAGCAGATATTAACGACGCGCTTTAGAGTTCCCATCATCGTTCAGCGGAACTCTTTCAGCCTTAAGCGGCAGTCAAGTAAGGAGAAACTACGTGTGCACCGGCTATTCGGGTAAATAATATTAATAGCTGTCTCTCCCCAGTTCAAATCACCCACTGCTCAGGGAGATCTCCTCATGCGTTGCTTTACGCATCTAGTGTTCAAATACAACATTACTAACCTATAACTCCGCTCAACTGGGAAAAGAGAAGAAGAAAGAAGAAGAGAATCCTCCAGGAGCACAGCGTTCCTAATCATGAGGAACTATAGGCCCAGTCACACACCTGGAGTTCCTAGGCATCACATCAAGCTCATGGTATTAACGTTCCTCTAACCAAACTGCGTGCATCCACATAAACGTCTTCAACGACAGTTGCTCTTCCTCATCGGGCAACCGTACTTTACATGCGGATATTCTTCGGCACGCCATCATCTCCCGTTTCCTGGACGTGGCATCCGCCGGCCTCACGACGACCGCGTTTTCCCCGACTTAAGGACGTGCACCGCACATCCTCCGTTTTGGGGGGGACATCTGCATGAGATCATCCGCATAGCGGCATACTCAGATTTCCACTATTGCTACACATTTATTATCACACTCGCTGGATCTAACACCTCGAAAAGAAGAAGTCAATCTAAAAAGCATCCGGGGCCTCTTAGCAGGAGTGCAGTTTAACGTTCGCTGTTCCGATCCCGGCTTTCCCAGCCTGTTCGCAAACCAGTCAGTCAAACTCATCCTCAAAGGTCTCATTAAAACTTTTCTCCCCGTCTTAGACCGGATACGCCCTATTACACTCTCCACTTTACGCCTCATGCTCTCCAAACTTAGAAGTGGGTTAACCCCCCCCTATATCAATGCGCTACTCTACGCTCTATTTCTCCTAGCTTTTATGCCTTTCTCAGACCAGGTGAATTTACCACAGCTTCCCTTACATTCGATTCCAATCGAGACGTCAGCTTTTCTGACATATCCTTTCACGCTAGCCACTTTAGTTTATATCTTAAACACTCCAAATGCGGCGGCGCTGCTCCGTCATCGCCGCCCTCATCAACTCCCAGTTCTGCCCTTATAAATCCATGATCAAATTCCTACAGCTTAGACCTACCTCTAATCCTCTCTCACCATTATTCATTATCTCAGGGAATTTTCCTTTAACTCAACAACAGTTCAATATCTATTTAAAACAAGTCCTCATTAAATCCGGGTTATCACCTCTTCTATACACGGGGCATTCCTTTAGAATAGGCGCAGCTACTTCCGCTGCTAATCAAGGTGTCTCATCCTCATCCCTGCAACAACTCGGACGGTGGTCCTCCTCCGCTTTCTCATCCTACATTCGCCCTGACCTCAATGCCGTGCTGGCTATCCAAAGGTCTCTCCAACCTTAAATTGGTACGTATGCATATAACTGGTGGTGGTTCCTAGCATGTCAGCACGTATGTCGCCCCGCGGCTCATGTTTATTCCTGCATATCTAACCCTGTATGTCCAGGTTGTAAAACCTTCGGGTCTGTATAAATGTGTCCCTGCTAAGGCAGGTTGCCCCGCACGTTCGGGAAGCCCTGCCCGTTCCGGGCGCCCAGCACGTCGGGTCGCCCGGTGCGTCTGGGATGCCCCATTCGCCCGGGATGCCCCGTACGTCCGGGACGCCCTGTATGTCCAGGATGCCCTGTATGTCCAGGATGCCCTGTATGTCCGGGATGCCCCGTACGTCCAGGACGCCCTGTACGTCCAGGATGCCCCGTATGTCCAGGATGCCCCGTATGTCCGGGACGCCCTGTACGTCCAGGATGCCCCGTACGTCCGGGAAGCCCCGTACGTCCGGGTCGTTAACCTCCGGTCCATATAATGTGTCCCTGCTAAAGTCAGGTTGCCCCGCACGTTCAGGAAGCCCTGCACGTTCCGGGCGCCCCGCACGTCGGGTCGCTTGGTGCGTCCGGGATGCCCCGTACGTCCGGGACGCCCTGTACGTCCAGGATGCCCTGTATGTCCAGGATTCCCCGTACGTCCGGGACGCCCTGTACGTCCAGGATGCCCCGTATGTCCAGGATGCCCCGTACGTCCGGGTTGCCCCGTACGTCCGGGTTGCCCCGTACGTCCGGGAAGCCCCGTACGTCCAGGAAGGATGCCCGGGAGGCATCAGATGTTTAAATTCTCACATGTATTAACCTTTCATTTCCATCCATAGATTTCCACTGCATCCCACAAGGTAAGATTCTTCACGTTCAGTACTTCATACTTCATTCTTTTGGGGGTTCATCGGAAACGGTTCTTCCCTTCCCGATTGATATCCTACAAAACCTGGGCCTAATCGCCAAAACACCATTTCATTCACTTGTTATAAACTGTCATCATTATGTTTCATTTATATAATGTGACCGATAATAAATATGTATTCCATACATCACGTCTCTCCTGATTGAAATTAAGCTTAGCGCAAGTTCAGACAGGAAGACCTATCACTCCGTATTGCACGTCATGGCAATACTCGCTCCCTGCATCTAAATGACAGGGAGCGCCACTCCTCAGCTAACCTATCACTCCCCTCCATTTACAAGCCTAATCATTGCACCTGTTAATCCCTCTATATATGCTCTCCCCTTTCCTATCAGCTGTCTTCCAGGTGTCAACGCGCAACCCTCCTCCACCCCTTCGCCTCCTGCTTTCAACTCAGGGCCAAGCTTAACCTTCTCCCTTCCAACCGGACCTAACCACTTATCACCACCACCAGTGTCTAGACCCAGGGGGGTTAATCGGAAACGGTTCTTCCCTTCCCGATTGATATCCTACAAAACCTGGGCCTAATCGCCAAAACACCATTTCATTCACTTGTTATAAACTGTCATCATTATGTTTCATTTATATAATGAGACCGATAATAAATATGTATTCCATACATCACATCTCTCCTGATTGAAGTTGTATCCTTTGAAATCACACAAAAAATAAAAATAAATCATCTGAAACTTGACAATGATATAACAGTCGACATAAAATCCATTAAAGATGAATAAAAACATAACAAGAAATAAATAATCAAAAAATTGAAATAGAATCATAATTCAAATAAATAATTGAATGCAGTATTTACTCTCAGGATTATCTATAATATATAGATAAATATATATTTTGTTATTTTATATTTTTGGATTAACATCACTATGCATTGATTTACATTTTCCACAGTATGGGTCGTAGATATTTTACATAAAATGTAAATAGGCGGGTTTTAACACGGGGAATGTGAATGTCCATAAGAGATGACATTGAATTTCCACTATTTAAACTGATATTTGCAAGAAGTCCTGCTGCATTAATTTGATATATAGTGGCATCCATCTAAGAGTACCGATCAGTATTTCTTTTTCTATCCTTTAGTGCCCCACGGCCTCTGTCTTCTCCCACATTTACTCAGCAGATCTGTTAGCTCTGCAGGACTCTGAGGTGTCGGGAAGTTCTGCTGCCTGCCATGTGTGACTTTATCCTGCAGGTGCCAAGTATTTCCACTCAGAGCTGTAACTTACTGTAACCCTCTGTTGCCTTAATGCCCTGTTGAAATGGAAACACTTGGCACATATGTGTAGCAGGGTTTCCGCCAGGATTTTTTCTCGCCGGTCAAATGTCCGGGCAGAATTTATTTTACCGGACACATTTGAAAATTACCGGTCATATTTCAATAATAATAATAAGAGTTGTGTAGCAGAGTTTCCGTTAGCAGGTAATTACCGGACTATGAGCAGATATGCTTCAGTTTAAAACTCAGTTCACGGGGCTCATTTTTATATTGCTTCAGTTTATAATCGTAACAGATCGAAAAATTCAGATTCATTTTTCAATAAATTATTCCACAAACAACAAACAACATAATTATTACATTCAAACTAACTACTTGTAGTAGATAACGTACATTATTCAAAAGTTTACATTAACTTTGAATAATAACACGGGAGAAACGGATCCTCTCTTTTCCCCTCTCCCTCCCTCTCTCTCTGACAGCCCGTCAGTTTCTCATGCAGCTCGCTAAACAGTGGGCGGGGCTTCAGGTGATTATGCAGAGCTGCGTGTCTCGGTCAGACTCAGCAGCTGATCTGATCTCTCTCTCTCGGGTCCGGTTACACTTCACTCGCGTTTATGTCCATATCGATCAGATCCAGCTCTCCTGATCGGCCTTTATAGAGAGCACCGATCAAACTATTAAGAGAGAATATCGGCCGATAATGACCGGCGGCCGATCTATCGGAGCCTCCCTAATTATTACCAGACATTTTGACCGGCAGGTTTTGAATTTACCGGTTTTTAATAAATGTGACCAGCTAAAAACCGGTAATTACCGGCTAACGGAAACCCTGATGTGTAGGTATGTTAATGCAAGCTACATTCATTCTCCTACACCAAAACATAAACACCAGTGCTAAATGCATGACATAATCTCAATATAATGTTAATTCCTATTTCAAAGGAGTAGGTTGGCAATAAATAAAATATCCCAAACTTCTTGGATAGATGAGAAGATTGATAACGCTTAGCATAACGGCTGAAAACTGAGGGAAACACTTAGCCTGGCTCTGCTAGGGTAAAACAAAGAATGTATTCCTTCGAGCATATGTTTATCTCAATTATTAAGATTTTACATGTTGTTAGTTTAATCTGTAAATGAAATCTAAGGGTAAATACAAGAGGTTATATGCAATCAGTATCGCAAAATTCAAATAGTTTAAATGTAACAGTAGCAAGAAGTGTAAGTAAAGTAAACATACACAAGTAGCATCAAAAAATAAACTTAAAGTTGCAAAAGTAAAGTATTAACTATGCAGAATGGCTCGTTTCATAATGAATCATGTATTGTAATCAAGATGGGATGTTTAACATATATATTCTGCTGTGTATCTTAATGCATCTAATAACTCATAATGAAAATAATAAATACAAATACAATATTTGCATCTTAAATATAGTGGAAGATAATATGAAATAGCAATCAGCTGGGTGGAGATTTTCTTTCTTTTGCACACAACCAGGCTAGCTTTTATTCCCTTGTTCAAGTCTTCCTGCAAAGCTAAGCAACAGGCAGCTGGATTGAGCTGATATTAGGATATATTTAAGGACAGATGTTCTTATTTTCTAACTGTATACTATATGCATGAAAGTGAATGAAGCTGCTTTCCAAAATGTACCAAAACTATTTCCTTTAACTCTCAGATCCTAAGCCATACAAGCAAGTCCAAGAATGTCCTAGGTTTGCGCCATACAGTCTATGGGTTTGCACCCTATACAAGTCAATACTGATCCTCACAATTATAGATGTGGGGGTTATTTCTGCATGTTATGGCACCACAGCTCCACTCACTGGTTGTATTTTAATTTCAAATAATGGCCCACTGCAAAAACTAAGATAATAAGCTGATGTTGAATTGCTTCTGTGAAAAATGAGCTGACGTACAGTTGGCTGACAATAAAAGCACAGCATGGTGCAAAAACAAGACCTCACACTGTCTGTCCTCCAGTGTGTGTGTGTGTGTGTGTGTGTGTGTGTGTGTGTGTGTGTGTGTGTGTGTGTGTGTGTGTGTGTGTGTGTGAACATCAGGTTATGACAAGTTTGTGCAGCGATGAAGTGCAGTGGTACTGGTGAAGGTTTTTCATGGTGACTCACACAGATCAGACACAAAGATAGTGAGCTGAGTGGCCATTATTACATATTTCTTCTGTGTGCAGGACAAAATGACAAGGAAGCTCTTTACCTGAGATGGGCCAAAAAGGGTAAAGTATGTTTATTTACCAACATTGACTTCATAATTTAGTCTACACAAAAGAATGTGCAGAAGAAGTCATATAAAGTACTGTTGTACATTTACTCATTTACACATTTTAAAAAGGAACTCAAGCATTTCAATTTAATGTTATACTTTGACTTCACTAGAGTTCAGAGAAAAATAACGTTTACTCGTTTAAAATCATAATAATTTCTATAAAGATGCAAGTACAAATAACTAAAAGGGTACAATATAGTGGCAGCATTACAGTGAATAAAATGATAAACAATAGCCAATAAAAAAATATGGTCTTAACAGAACTTATCATGTATATCATTTTCACTGTATCACCACTAGATGGAGCTGTCAGTTTAATGATGGAACAGCCTCTCCTGCACTCATCTGCAAAATCTGAACAGCCGAACATGAACTAAAATCAATCTCCTTTATGTTGAAAACAGATGAAATATAACTCCCTATTTTTCTGCCGTGTCACCCTAGAATTTCACAGGAGTTGTGCACCACTGCAATTCATGCATTTCCTTTGAAGTTGTGAAACCTCTGACATCTGGATATCACTCTGTTACTTAAATCAGAGCTAATGCCTCCTGGGATCATTCACAAAAAGCCTTTTCACTTAGCCACAGCCAATGATACCTTTCCTTTCTCCGTCTGGACTCAAAATCACTTAGTAAAGTGAGGATTAGAGTGTTGTAGAGGGAGTGACCCTGTGTCTCCTCCCTTTTCTGTGCCAGCTTAAATATATCACTAACCTTAGGCAGAACTAACAAAGAAAAACAGAAAGGCCTCAGTATTGTACTGAGTGTTAACAGGGCTAACAGAGAAGCTTCTGTAGAGTGAGAACAATCTGTTCTTTTCACATGTAACGTTCAGAAAACCTGCATTATTTCAAATAGCCAGCAGATGGCGACAGAAAGAAATCAATTGTATAGAAGTCGATGAGAAAATGACCTTTCTTCTCACTTGACTTGTTACCTCACTAACCATTGTTGTAATGAGGTGATGATCTAAATCACTAGCTTCAAGTCTGTTTCATTTATACTAAAATAGCAGTGTTGTAGTCAAGTCACCAATTCACGAGTCCAAGTCACTCTCGAGTCCCCACTCTTCGAGTCCGAGTCACCTAGGGAGAGTCGTAGTCGAGTCCGAGTCCAAGTCCGAGTCCGAGTCACCCAAGGAGTGTCCGAGTCGAGTCCGAGTCCGAGTCATCATTACCTGTGTTCGAGTCCGAGTCCAAGTCCGAGTCACCCAAGAAGAGTCCAAGTCAAGTCCGAGTCACAAGTCTTCATGTATTAATCTTAGTGGATATATGTGTTGAAATGTAGCTGTAGCTCCTCTACATTGCTTTTATCCTGTCATGGTATACTAATGTGTCTATTGAACTGCTGTGAAGCGAGTGTGGCTACAACGTTCATTGTAGGCTAGGGGCGGGCTAGGCTACTCATCATCTGCAGTATCACCAAGGACATGTATAGCTTTTTAACAGTATCTATCTAGACAATAAAACTGCACTTGGTCCCTAGGATGTGATATCAACCCCTACCTCCATCTAACCCGACATCTTAAAACCTTTGTGGAGTCAATTTAGTGGCTAACGTTAACGTGGGTTAGCAAGCTAACAATAGCATTTCTACTTACTTTTCTGGGTGCCGCCGTGAAAGGTGTCGATTGAAATTCGACGTTGTCCCAGTCTTCTCTTCTATCTTCTGTCCACATAATGTGCATTTTGCGCTGCTCTTTCCCAATATGGAAACAAAATCTTTAAAAGCATACAGCACGATGCGGGGTGTGTCTCTGGACATCTTTAGACTGGTATAGCAGCGGGGGCGCGCCCAGTACGTGAACTCGCCTCGCAGGTGCACACGCCGGCCAGGACAC